TGCAGAATGGTATTATACTTTCAGTCAGAAGCCTGTAATGCAGTGAAGGAGTCATTTCCGACCCCATAAATCATATATATTCTTGATCAGCATCGATAGCCAAGTCGATCTAGCTAATTATTAAAGGAAAAAAATTTTAGATTTTTTCCATTTTTTGAAAAAATGATAAGGGTTACATCATTAAAATTGACAAAAATTGGCCAAAAATTTCATATTTTTACTTTTAAAACCGAGTATGCAGTTTTGTTAACCTATTAAAAACTAACATAGAAAAGCTTTCCGAATTGAATTTAATGCGTTTTTGGCTTAGTTATGCGATTTTTAAACTTTGATTTGTAGGAAAAATTTGTCATATAAAAATATACATAGAAAAATATTGGCTGAACAATGGTATTAAACTTGCAGTAACTTTAGGTATCGAAAATTAAAAATAGAGTATGCAGATTTAAAATACAATAACAAAGAATACAATAAAGCTTTCCGAGTGAAAATTAAGGTATTTTTGGATTAGTTATGCGAATTTTAATCTATGATTTGAAGAAAAAATGGTGATGAAAACAGATATAAATATGGTCTCAAAGAATGGTATTAAATTTTCAGTCATTTTTGGTTTTTCTAATTTTAAATTGAGTATGCAGATTTGTTGACCCAATAACAAAGAATACAATACAGCTCCCCGATTGAAAATTAATGCATTTTTGGCTTAGTTATGCGAATTTTAAACTATGATTTGTAATAAAAATTGTCATAAAAATTGATATAAATATTGACTGCAGAATGGTATTATCTTTCAGTCAGAAGCCTGTAATGCAGTGAAGGAGTCATTTCCGACCCCATAAATCATATATATTCTTGATCAGCATCGATAGCCAAGTCGATCTAGCTAATTATTAAAGGAAAAAAATTTTAGATTTTTTCCATTTTTGAAAAAATGATAAGGGGTTACATCATTAAAATTGACAAAAATTGGCCAAAAATTTCATATTTTTACTTTTAAAACCGAGTATGCAGTTTTGTTAACCTATTAAAAACTAACATAGAAAAGCTTTCCGAATTGAATTTAATGCGTTTTTGGCTTAGTTATGCGATTTTTAAACTTTGATTTGTGGGAAAAATTTGTCATATAAAAATATACATAGAAAAATATTGGCTGAACAATGGTATTAAACTTGCAGTAACTTTAGGTATCGAAAATTAAAAATTGAGTATGCAGATTTAATAATATAATAACAAAGAATACAATAAAGCTTTCCGAGTGAAAATTAAGGTATTTTTGCATTAGGTTTGCGAATTTTACTATGATTTGAAGAAAAAATGGTGATGAAAACAGATATAAATATGGTCTCAAAGAATGGTATTAAATTTTCAGTCATTTTTGGTTTTTTAAATTTTAAATTGAGTATGCAGATTTGTTGACCCAATAACAAAGAATACAATACAGCTCCCCGATTGAAAATTAATGCATTTTTGGCTTAGTTATGCGAATTTTAAACTATGATTTGTAATAAAAATTGTCATAAAAATTGATATAAATATTGACTGCAGAATGGTATTATTCTTTCAGTCAGAAGCCTGTAATGCAGTGAAGGAGTCATTTCCGACCCCATAAATCATATATATTCTTGATCAGCATCGATAGCCAAGTCGATCTAGCTAATTATTAAAGGAAAAAAATTTTTAGATTTTTCCATTTTTTGAAAAAATGATAAGGGGTTACATCATTAAAATTGTCAAAAATTGTCAAAATTGGCCAAAAATTTCATATTTTTACTTTTAAAACCGAGTATGCAGTTTTGTTAACCTATTAAAAACTAACATAGAAAAGCTTTCCGAATTGAATTTAATGCGTTTTTGGCTTAGTTATGCGATTTTTAAACTTTGATTTGTGGGAAAAATTTGTCATATAAAAATATACATAGAAAAATATTGGCTGAACAATGGTATTAAACTTGCAGTAACTTTAGGTATCGAAAATTAAAAATTGAGTATGCAGATTTAATAATATAATAACAAAGAATACAATAAAGCTTTCCGAGTGAAAATTAAGGTATTTTTGCATTAGGTTTGCGAATTTTACTATGATTTGAAGAAAAAATGGTGATGAAAACAGATATAAATATGGTCTCAAAGAATGGTATTAAATTTTCAGTCATTTTTGGTTTTTTTAATTTTAAATTGAGTATGCAGATTTGTTGACCCAATAACAAAGAATACAATACAGCTCCCCGATTGAAAATTAATGCATTTTTGGCTTAGTTATGCGAATTTTAAACTATGATTTGTAATAAAAATTGTCATAAAAATTGATATAAATATTGACTGCAGAATGGTATTATTCTTTCAGTCAGAAGCCTGTAATGCAGTGAAGGAGTCATTTCCGACCCATAAATCATATATATTCTTGATCAGCATCGATAGCCAAGTCGATCTAGCTAATTATTAAAGGAAAAAAATTTTTAGATTTTTCCATTTTTTGAAAAAATGATAAGGGGTTACATCATTAAATGTCAAAATTGTCAAAAATTGGCCAAAAATTTCATATTTTTACTTTTAAAACCGAGTATGCAGTTTTGTTAACCTATTAAAAACTAACATAGAAAAGCTTTCCGAATTGAATTTAATGCGTTTTTGGCTTAGTTATGCGATTTTTAAACTTTGATTTGTGGGAAAAATTTGTCATATAAAAATATACATAGAAAAATATTGGCTGAACAATGGTATTAAACTTGCAGTAACTTTAGGTATCGAAAATTAAAAATTGAGTATGCAGATTTAATAATATAATAACAAAGAATACAATAAAGCTTTCCGAGTGAAAATTAAGGTATTTTTGCATTAGGTTTGCGAATTTTAATCTATGATTTGAAGAAAAATGGTGATGAAAACAGATATAAATATGGTCTCAAAGAATGGTATTAAATTTTCAGTCATTTTTGGTTTTTCTAATTTTAAATTGAGTATGCAGATTTGTTGACCCAATAACAAAGAATACAATACAGCTCCCCGATTGAAAATTAATGCATTTTTGGCTTAGTTATGCGAATTTTAAACTATGATTTGTAATAAAAATTGTCATAAAAATTGATATAAATATTGGCTGCAGAATGGTATTATACTTTCAGTCAGAAGCCTGTAATGCAGTGAAGGAGTCATTTCCGACCCCATAAATCATATATATTCTTGATCAGCATCGATAGCCAAGTCGATCTAGCTAATTATTAAAGGAAAAAATTTTTAGATTTTTTCCATTTTTTGAAAAAATGATAAGGGGTTACATCATTAAAATTGTCAAAAATTGGCCAAAAATTTCATATTTTTACTTTTAAAACCGAGTATGCAGTTTTGTTAACCTATTAAAAACTAACATAGAAAAGCTTTCCGAATTGAATTTAATGCATTTTTGGCTTCGTTATGCGATTTTTAAACTTTGGTTTGTAGGAAAATTTGTCATATAAAAATATACATAGAAAAATATTGGCTGAACAATGGTATTAAACTTGCAGTAACTTTAGGTATCGAAAATTAAAAATTGAGTATGCAGATTTAAAAATACAATAACAAAGAATACAATAAAGCTTTCCGAGTGAAAATTAAGGTATTTTTGGATTAGTTATGCGAATTTTAAACTATGATTTGAAGAAAAAATGGTGATGAAAACAGATATAAATATGGTCTCAAAGAATGGTATTAAATTTTCAGTCATTTTTGGTTTTTTTAATTTTAAATTGAGTATGCAGATTTGTTGACCCAATAACAAAGAATATAATACAGCTCCCCGATTGAAAATTAATGCATTTTTGGCTTAGTTATGCGAATTTTAAACTATGACTTGTAATAAAAATTGTCATAAAAATTGATATAAATATTGACTGCAGAATGGTATTATTCTTTCAGTCAGAAGCCTGTAATGCAGTGAAGGAGTCATTTCCGACCCCATAAATCATATATATTCTTGATCAGCATCGATAGCCAAGTCGATCTAGCTAATTATTAAAGGAAAAAATTTTTAGATTTTTTCCATTTTTTGAAAAAATGATAAGGGGTTACATCATTAAAATGGTCAAAAATTGTCAAAAATTGGCCAAAAATTTCATATTTTTACATTTAAAACCGAGTATGCAGTTTTGTTAACCTATTAAAAACTAACATAGAAAAGCTTTCCGAATTGAATTTAATGCGTTTTTGGCTTAGTTGTGCAATTTTTAAACTTTGATTTGTAGGAAAAATTTGTCATATAAAAATATACATAGAAAAATATTGGCTGAACAATGGTATCAAAGTTGCAGTAACTTTAGGTATCGAAAATTAAAAATTGAGTATGCAGATTTAATAATATAATAACAAAGAATACAATACAGCTCCCCAATTGAAAATTAATGCATTTTTGGCTTAGTTATGCGAACTTTAAACTATGATTTGTAGAAAAAATTTTGATGAAACCAGATATAAATATGGTCTCAAAGAATGGTATTAAATTTTCAGTCATTTTTGGTTTTTTTAATTTTAAATTGAGTATGCAGATTAGTTAACCTAATAACAAAGAATACAATACAGCTCCCCGATTGAAAATTAATGCATTTTTGGCTTAGTTATGCGAATTTTAAACTATGACTTGTAATAAAAATTGTCATAAAAATTGATATAAATATTGACTGCAGAATGGTATTATTCTTTCAGTCAGAAGCCTGTAATGCAGTGAAGGAGTCATTTCCGACCCCATAAATATTCTTGATCAGCATCGATAGCCAAGTCAATCTAGCTAAATATTAAAGGAAAAGTTTTTTTTAATTTTTTCCATTTTTTGAAAAAATGATAAGGGGTTACATCATTAAAATTGTCAAAAATTGGCCAAAAATTGAACTTTTTAACTTTTTAAACCGAGTATGCAGTATTGTTAATCTATTAAAAACTAACTAAAATAAGCGAGGCGGTTGCTGATTTGTTAACCCTTCCCGTCATCTTTACTTTCAATAAAAAAATCACCAGTAATGTTTGCAAAATATGTTTATTTTCAAGTCGTTTATCAATACGTTTTACTTAGAAAATTCTCCATTTAAACGTTGGCATTCTGCTTGATCCAGGATCGCAGGGCTCCCACATAGGTGTACATGGCGGGACGTCCCTTGGCGCCGCAACCGAATCCCCAGGACACAACGCCAAAGAGCTTTCCATCGACGGTTAGAGGACCACCTGAGTCACCCTGGCAGGAGCTCACCTGGCCACTGGGATGTCCGGCACAGACCATGCGGTCGGTGAGCCCGGGAATATTCTGGGAGTTACAGAAGTCGCGGCTCCACAGCTGCACCTGTGCGAATTTCAGGCGGTTGGGTAGCTGTAGGTTCTGGTTGATGGCTCCGAAGCCACTGATCGTGGCCATGGTATCAGCGGCATAGTTGGAATCAGAGTCCGCCAGCTGGATAGTCTTCACGGATCCTCCCATGGGCACGGGGCTGCTCAGCCTAATCAGCGACATGTCGAAGTCCTGGCTCTGCGGATTGTACTGCGGATGGATGATGAACTGGGCAATGCTGAAGGTCTGACCATTGCCAGCGCTCAGGTCGTTGGTGCCCACAATGGCCATCATCTGGCTGGGACTCTGGCCCATGGTGCAGTGGGCAGCCGTCACGATCATCGTCTCGGAGATCAGGGAGCCGCCGCAATGATGGCGACCCTTCAACTGCAGGGAAACCTGATGCGGAAATTGTCCAGGGGCAGCAAATTGTCCTCCTATAATCCGCGACTCCTCCGAAGGCTCCACCTCGCCGAGGGAGGACGCCACAACCAGGAAGAGGGTCAGAGGTGTTGCTATAGTCTTAAGCGGAGACATGACAAAGGTTGAGTGTGCTGACTGTGGGTTGGGGTGTTGCCTATTTATAGGTCTTTTGGCGTTTGTTTCATTCGAGTGGTTTTATCGCCCGAATGGCACACTTCCATGTGGGAAGCACTTGCGATAAGTGATTAGTTGGGTGAGGTTTTATTATTCAGGGTACTATAATTTCAGTCAGAAGCTTAAAATAAGTTTCAATAAATATATGTTTAAAGACATGTTTTATAAAATACTTATTTAAATATTCCTAAGGAACATCTTGACTCCTGGAAATCTATTAGCGCTTTTGAAAATCTATTCCAGGTCTATTCAGATTATTTAACACACATTGAAACTCTTTAAGGTATCGCTCTACTTTTATTTTTTCAAATAGCTTAGTAATTGCCAATTTGTAACTAGGCCAAGCAGCAGGGGCTCGGCCTGACATGATTTCATGTGCGAAATTTAAATTTTAGCCACATAAAAATCAAGTTCAACGCGCCGTAACTTTTTTTTATAGTTTAGTTCTAAAACATCAGTGAGAATCGGAATTCTTAGATCCTCCAGCTGCATGTCCGTTGCTGATCATCCAGATGTTCTTCCAGATCTCATGCTTGAAAATATTTCGATAGTTTTGCACGGAAACCAGAAACTCTGTGCCAAATAGAGTTGGAATCATAACATTTTCGGCAGCCAGATTTCGATTTGTGGTGGAATGAACAATCACCAAAGGGGAGTTGCTCTGTAATTAATTATAAGAAAACTATAAGATTTAATAAATATTTAAAATCACTTACAGGAATATCTTCTCCTTCGCTTTCAAAGCGTAAGTTTGGATTAACGTGTCTGCAAAACCAGTTAGTATAAGCCATCGGAATATCACTATTGGGAGATTTACATTTCTATAAAGGAAACAAAGATGAAATATATATATTTATATAAGGTAAAAAAGAAACTTACACTGCGCTGAACTAGCCCCAAGTTGAGATTCACCTCGCCATGTTTTTGAGACATATAGCTGGCATTGATGCCCTGCTGCAGGTTGCATCGCTTGGGCCCACTGTACAGCACAATGGGATCCTGTTCCCCGGACATGCACTGCAGCTGGAATCTCTGGCCGTACTTTATATTCTGTCCCGTAAGATCGTGATCGCCTCCGCTGACAATTCGAAAGGAGTTCCGGACACAGGGTTGCCGAGAAGGTGCCACCGACAACTCACAGTCCTCGTTGATCGATTGACTGCGATACACTAACCTCTCGTTGATCACCACCGATAGAGCGGCATTTAGCTCGGCTGAGTCTACATTCTCGATGCCCATGGTGATGGGCATTAGCTGCACCACATCCCCGAAAATGATGTTCTGTTTGGGAGCAGCCAGGACAATTGGCTTGAGGAAATTATCGTACAGTTTGCGTGCCTTAACCACAAGGAGTTCACCCTTATCGTGTTGCCGCTTGAAATTTACTATTGTGTCCTATAAAATGGTATTAATTTAAGTTACTTAATAAATCAATAAGTAATGAGCGGCTTACCTCCTCAAGACACTTGTCCTCCACCCAATTGCCAATTCTAACACTCGGCTGAAAACGAGTGGAACCCGAATCCGTATCGTTGATTCTGCAGGGCATTTTAAAGTGTATAAATTAAATGTAATTTTAATAACAGTTAAGGAATATATAGGCAGTAATTCAAATGTATTTACTTTGTGAGAAATTATAAATCAAAGGGTTCTGGATACATTGAGATCTTATTTATTTCAGCACCTTTACACCCCAATATTCACCACACTAGAAAAAAACTAAAGCATACTTTTTGGTGTCTTGAGCAAATATAATTACCTCTGGAGCAAGTGATTCTCAGAGTCCACGCTGCGTATGAGTAATGTGTGACACAATATTTAGCACTAGCACACATTTCTGGTCTCTAAGTTATCTATTTGCCGCTTCTTTATGAGATCAGCTCAAACAGCGATGATTGGCCATGTTTGCTGGGATTACACTCGGTCCATCCGTCTGTCTAAATTTAAGTCCAAGAGGTCTGGAATCTTGGTGAGACGTGTCACCATTAGCTTTTTCTCCCTCCCAGTGGGTTGTCTGGGCCAAATATCGGTGACAAGATAAGCCATTTGTATCAGCATTTAGCACATCGTCCCCGCTGTTGATCGCGTTAATTGTGCTTGTTATTCATTATCGCTGTTGGCGGCTGGAGTCGCTGTTTTACCTGTTGTGCGATTTACCTGTGCCCACATTTGCAAGTTTGAGTAGTAAATGTACTCAGCCGGATAGATCGGCGTGCACATCACGTGAACGTGAGCAGGCGGCTCGGCCGATTTGCGACACGTTTCTTATCTAGCCACTCGATTGCAATGGGGGGCTATATGCGATATATTGTCGCCGGGCTATGAGTTTTATTGCCATATTTACCTCCAGGCCCTCTTCTAATCAGCTATCAGTCGGTCCATGTTTAGTTTTCAAACTGATTTATTTTTGTTTTCGTACAAGAGAGTTTGGGGTGCAGACTGAATTTCACAAAAGATGAAATAGGGATATGTGGGTCTATTTATTTGCTGTTTTATTTTATGTGTTACAATCCCCTAATTTATCTGTTTTTGAGTCAAGCTCACTAATAAATAATATGATATAATCTACTCATTTTGCTATTCCTAGTTTAGTTAGTTTAGTTTTCTCTTACATATAAATAACACAAAATTACCTAATGTAGTTCAAATGGCTTTTGTTCCGCTTTATAATTTTAATCTTGATCTTTATTATTTCCCTTTTTAAAGTACAACCATTAAAGTTCACAAAATGTGTAGCTGTTTGTATCATTTGCTCTCAATATATACTATATTAAATACATTGTAAATATAGAAACCCTATAAATATAGTCACTAGGGCCATAATTCTTAAGACTCAGTTCTTAACGCCTTTAATCAGATTACTTAATCTTCAAAATAAATATATACAAAAATAAAGAGTGCCTCTTATCTGTCATAATAATTTGTGACTTCATTTTGAGCAAATACCAAGAACAATCAAAATTTACTCGAAGAGAAATTAAGGTTAGCTAAATATATATTAAATATTTTAAGGAAATGAATATATTTCTATCTGCTTTAGCAAGGTATTTTAACTTCAGTTAGAAGTATAAATCGCAGACATTTCTGACCCTAAAATTAATATATATTCTTGATCAGAATTTAAAACCGAAAATTTCAATTTCCTAAAATGTTAAATTGAGTATGTAAATTTGTTAAACTGATAAAAACTAACATATGTTAGGAACGCTTCCCGATTTGAAATTAATGCATTTTTGGCTTAGTTAGGAGTTTTTTAAACTGTCCTGTGTGTATTTTTGCTACAAGACGGTATTTCAAATTAATCACAATTAATTATCAAACGATTCTACTACTATACATATAACTTTCTTAGGACCTCTTGGCGTGAGTGACTCAATACTTCTATGGAAAATCACTTGACATTTCATTAAAGATAATGCCAAATAATGGAATATAAGAACTCTTACCCTTGCTTTGCACCTGGAGGTAATGCAATCTGCCACATTAATTGTTCGTAGGCCACAAAATCGAGTTCTGTTATCTTGGTCAAAACAGAAACCAGCACAGATGGAAATCCGAAAACAAAGCGTAATATATAATATATTAATTGCGTCAAACGACGGGCCCCAAAACAAAAAACGATAGTCGATCAATTGCGGCGCTGGAATATCATCTGCATCGATCCGATACCCCGCGACTTCGTCACTGTCCTATCTTAAATTGCAAAATACAATTAATGGTGAGATAATGTACTCGTGGGACCAACCACTTCGTAGGACCTGAAACGGATTGTTCGAATATGATTTGGCACGGGCAATTGAATGGCACTCGAAGCTGTCATACTTATAGCTTGTGCCAGGCGATAGCAGATCTCCAAAAAGGTTGTGGCAAGTGGAGTCGCGGTTGTTAGGCTAATCCAAAGACCATAATCCCAAGTCATGTGACAAGGTTTTCCCAGTCCCAATGGATCAGTCATTCATGGTGCCGACCCTTCATACATATAAGTTTGTATATCTTTAAATATATATTCGTAATGTGATCCAGGTTGGTGCTACTGCTGGTCAAGATTGTGTTTTACGACACTTTATAGACCCGAAATCAGTTGATATTGGCTACCAGCAGAGAGAACTTAGCCTTAAGTCTTATCGGCTGACCAAAGTCGGTTTATGGCGCATTAAGGCACTGGGGGAAAATGATAGTATAGAAGGGGATATTTGGAAATAAATAGTGTATGCATTTATAGCTCAAATTGAGAAGAATAGAGTAACACGTTGATATTGTGTATGCTAAAATTAAGTACTATTCAGATGGTAGAAATAAATAGACATAGACCTAGATTAAGTATATCTACCACTTATGGTTTTATTACTTTTAAATCTCGTAAATACTTGATTTATTCAAATAGTATTATTGTTTTAATTTTTCAAGTGTTTTTTTCTCTCAAATTCGAATACCTTAAGCTGATAATAAAACGGATTTACGCAGAAACTAATGGTTTCTTGTGCGTAACCATTTTGATTATGGGGGTGTATCAGGCATTCTCCCATCCTTTTGAGTTTTCTGTCCTTGACGTCAGGACACTTGCTCTAAAGTCTAGTGATTGTAAATCTCCTCATTATTCTTGACAATTTGTCAATATCGTAAAAGTCTCTATCATCGCTCATCACTCATCGCACATCTCTCATGCGTCTCTCATGCGAGTGAGAGCAATTAAGTTAATAATTTGCCAGAAAGTGCGAGTAAGAGCTCACGTGAAAAGCACACGATTGAGTCGAGAGTTGAAATCACAGTAACTGCACTTGACTCTCTTAACTCTCTTTAACTGTTTGACAGGAACAAAGTCTCTCTATTACAGTGAGATCCCCGCCAAAGGGCCGTGTCCAACTGTCACTCACTCCGTTCAATGGTTTATGGCCGCAGTTATCATTATCATTATCACCTGGCCGGCCAGGTATTTATCAGGCGAAACGAAGCTCGGCCGATGAATTAAATTGAGAGCTTCGTGTTTCCTAACGTCGCCGCCGGCGTCAACGCAGCCGCTTTGCGAGTAAAAAACAGAAACAGAATTATAAAAACGTTCAATTAGTCGAGGTAGTAACTCATTACAGTTC